ATTTTGTTTGTGAGCTCCGTTTGCTTAGCTTTCCAGATTTTAACTCCCTGGACAACAACGACTGAATCGTTGGCGAATGGAAGACCAACCAGCAGTAACACAATTCCAAGATCTTGTTGCAGACCGAAATCATAGCTGTGAAAGTTAACTTGAATGAGAAATTCTAGATCCGAGCCTGTTGTCGCATTCAAGGCCGCGCTGAATGCCGTCTTCAAAACTGGGGGTAGATTTATTGAATAAAAGTTGATAAATGTTTTAGAAAAATACATTTTTTCTATTGACTATCTTTGGGATTTTATATTATAAAATGTTTCTGTAGAATACTAATATGGAATTTCAATGAAATATGGTGCATGTACATATTACTAATCGTATATAGTGTTGCGGGCCGGTGAACGCGTTGAGAGATAAGCACGTGTTTCTCCTGAATGCCCACAACAAACATAGAGGACTCGGGATGTGAGTCCACGTAAAGAAATTTAAAGAAACAATAAGAACCGATACATATGTACAAACAAATGATAAAGGGTTACAAGTGACAAAGACAATAATGTGTGCAACAAATGAATGTGGAAACTTTTTCGTCCAATGTATGTGAAGTGAGTGAATGTACGTACGTACTTGTGGGCACACGTATTGTTCATGCGAGAAACTTACATGTTGACGGATAAGATCAGAAGAGCGTGATAAAAAATTATCTCAGAATTCCGAAGAGCGTGCCCTAGTAACGGTTACGAAAATTAAGAAGAGGTAACTCGACAATAGTTTTATAAACCACAAAGGACATTATTAAACATTGATATATTTATGTATTTCGACATTTATTTCATATCAACCTAATATTATTGTTTACACATCTGACAATGTCTAACAAATGTTATTCATCATTTGAATGGCTTTGAATTAAATACAAGATATTGAAATGGCATTCAATACACACTTTGTTAAGTTTAATAATTCAAGAAAATAATTCAATTCAAACAATGTACTTCAGTCGGAAATCTGATGAAATCAAAAAATCTTTACTTTTTTCCATTGTTCAATAGGCTTTAATCTTATTGTTCTTTGAATTATTTTCAATAGAAAAGACAAACACAATAGAATTACCTTTATTTCTGAGTGACCTATGTGATTTTGGTCCTATATTAGTCTAGGAGTGTTTGTTAGGAATCTGGTTTGGTTCTGGCTTGTTGGTATAAGGCGCTAAACACCTGTGGCTTTGTGTTAGAATAAGCACAAACCGATGGTGCCTTTGTTTTCTGAGATAATAGTCCGATATATATTGTTATTAATACGGCACTTAATACATTAATGGAAATCTAACCAGTTTTCCTAACATAAGTATTTCAAGTAGAAATAAAATGACATTGCAACAGAAGAATCTACTTTCATTTTTCCCGTTCTGTAAAAGATCTTATTATGATCGATCTTTGAAAGATTTTCATTAAAGAAAAAGGTTTTCTAAAAATCTGTTTTCTTGCAATAATATTCTACCATCAATAACATCACCGAACATATATCCCCCTCTTTAAATCACGATCGTTCAGGACGTAGTCAGTCATAATTCTCCACGGCTTCCTGTCTTTTATTAGTTTCGACGATACTTATTCTTTAAGAAACCTTTTGACTGTATGGTATGTGTTCCTTTGTCCATTTACCGGCTGCTTTCGCCTACTTTTCTTACTTCCGATGCATACTGACTGTTTATTGTATAATGATTATAATAATATTGGGTTAAATAACTGTATCGTTAGCTTGTCTATACTTCGACCTGGAGCCAGGAATCCACGCAATCAGTCGCAGAGAGTTAGTTATTCAGGTTGGAGTCGAATTCTCTTATATGTGACCATATGTAGACACAGTGCTCTGCATTTCAGAAGTACATAGCTTGAGCAGATATACGTATTTCTTGGTTAGGATTTTTCGACTTGTTCAGTTCCACTCACCATCGTTCTTAGCCGCGTCATGTCGGTGAATAGATTCGACTGGATTGTCTTTGAGTTCTTGTGTATGATGAGGAAGAAAATATCGTCAGCATATATGTACTAGCGACAAGCTGTTTGTGGAAGGTCGGCTGTGTAAATGGGAGGGGAGCCTACCTACCTTCATGTGGTCACTCCAGTAAGTAACCGCCATGCGTTGAAAATAACGGCAGCAAAAAGAATATGACAGAAAAGCTGCCCGATAAGTGGCAACAAATTATTACAAATTATGGTGAACAATTTTTCTCTCCAGACTCTATCATACATATCTATAAGCTTACTATTCACCCATGCTCAGAATATTGCTGCTACATATCGTCTGGTGCCCCTGCAAGCAATGGAGTAATAGATAGCGGCTCGGATTGAGGAATCGGAGTGCAGAGTTTGAATTCCAGTTGGATTCCTTGTGAAAGTTATGAATCCTCTTCTTCTCCCCACTCAGCTGTGGGTAAATAGCAGTACAGACGGGGTTCTATAGCTTTGGGTGGCGAGCGGTCTAGAAGGTAACTCTGAATTCAAAAACCGGCCTGAAAAGGGTTCGGCTCCGTCAGACGATCTCTCCCAAGAAACACAACTCCTACTTTTGCTGCAGTACATGTGGTGATCCTATGACCCTGATGGGTCACGGGATTCACGATCACGCGCGATATAAATGAATGAAATGGAATTGTACATAGAGCTCCTTGATATAATCCAAAGAAGAATCAGCAATATTATTGGTCCTGATCTGGCTGCTCATCTTCATTCTCTTTCCCACACTTTCTCTGTGTCTTTTCTATATATACTTTCATGGCCATTCTTTGGATGAACCCTTAGCTATGGCACCTAGATTTTTTTTAAAAATCTAAACACAGTACTAGACTGGCGAAGATGTCGCGTCAATTTACAGTTAAGTTTGTTAGATTTCGCCGTAAATTCAATGTTAAGAGTTTCTTTCCTTGCAATTCTCGCTTGTGGATCTCCCTACCGGCTACATGATTTCCAGCCAACTTTAATCTGCAAAAAATTAAATGCAATATCAATTGCTATCTACTGTCCTCCTGATTACTCTTTTTCTCTTTCTACCCATTATTGTTTCTGTTATTAATTCTTCCACATCCTGTAATTCCTTGCCTGTTAATGGATGTATTGACTTGCTTGGGGTGAAACCAATTAAAAAAAAAAGAATATACAATGGTATTAAATGTAATTGTACTGTTGTTTTATGATAATAGTGGTAAGCATTTTGCTACTTACCTTAACTGCTTCAAGTTTTCTGAATTTCAATTCATGGTGTGTTGGAAAACTTTTAATAAGATTTTCAATAATAAACTTTTATATGCCATAAAATATATTGCGTTTGAAATCTAATTTGCCATATTCAAATTAAGATATAAAACTAAGATGAACCTATATATGAAATAAATCATGGATTAATCGTCTCATGTCTAATAAGTGAAAACTTAAAATCTATGCAAAACTGAATCATATAAAGAGTGTTCCAATAACTTGGACAAATTTTAAATGTGAATTAATTTTAAGTGTCTAATGATTTGTTCTTTTTCTTTCAGATTTAACAAATTCTTTAACAAGTTTTTGGCAATTTCAACCATGGAAAGACTGACAATCAAACAACGTGTTAAAGTTATCGAAGCCTATTACGAAAATGGACGTTCAAACAGAAATGTATTTCGCGCACTTCCCAGGTCGCATCATCTCTAGAAACAGCGAAATCAATTGGCCACAATGATCGTTCTATTTGACGCCCTTAGATTTCTTCCTTTGGAGTTATCTCAAAAGTAAAGGTCTATGCCAACAAGCCAACAACACTTCAACAGGTGAAGGATGAGATAATAAGGCATACTGGTGAGATTGAGGAGCAACTATGCAGAGATGTCATCAAAAAGTTTGACCATCGAGTGGAGGTGTAGCGAACATTTGAGCGATATTATTTTTCACACACAATTGCCATGATTTTAAAACAAGATCCAAGAGAAATTAATACATTTTCAGCATTAACACTGATTTATTTACTGCTGACTTTGATGCGTCTTAATGAAACACACTTTACAAATAGACGAGAAGGTAAGGAAAAGTTATCATATCAAGGGGTGCAAACATTTTGTAATTAAGTGAATGTGCTTGATTCTACATTGCTTAACATTACATTGTATTCTCCCATATTTCGCAAGTTACTCTATGTCAGTTTGTGGTATAAGACCCCGCATCCTCGTTCGAATATGCAGATCTCGCATTCTCTTCTTGCAGTGCCAGGAAGACTGCTCCGAAATTGCCGGTGTTAGATCACGTGGTTCTCAATTCGGCGGCCTGAAGCGGTCTCAGGTGAACTCCCCCACTCACTCGGCTTCTTTGACGATCTGATATGAATTGTGTGGAATATCTATTTTGTTGTCTTACTTCAACCTGATCACTAGTCATTTGTGTTTGGGAATTTCTTTGGGTCGAGAACTTTTCAGTACTTTCCTGGTATATGTGTACATCAAGGAGTGTAAGTTTTCCTCAAGGTTAACGGAAAAGACTATGGAATCGACGCACCGAGTTCAAATTTCTTCAGAGACGTACTTCCACTTCTCTATTCGTGCATCTTCTTCCCAAGAACCGCTATTTTATGGAATAGACAGCCGAGAGAATGCTTCACCGATCGCGGAAATGTCAATCTCTTCACGTCTAGGATCGACTGTTATCTATACACCCTATTCTCATAATCTGCCCCTGTTACCTTCGCCTTTTACGTTCATATAACAACCTCATTCAATAACCCTCTGCTTGAGTGGATATTGGATCTTGTATTGGGAGATCAGTTACTACAAAAGATACTTTTGGTAAAGGCATGAATCTACTTAATCTCTAGCTGTGTATAAATATTAGGACAAACCCTTTAGCACTGTAAGTGGTCCAGCTAGAGGGAATTGCTGGTTCCCAGAAAAAATTCACATGCAACATTAATTGTTGCGTTTGCAGCGCAATGTCTATAGGATATAAACACGAGTATTTGAAGTATGCAATGGTTGTATTTACCTGCACTGTCACAGTTATCTGGATAAAAGTTTCCTTTCTTTTCATCCCGCTCGGACAAATATTGTTCAAATTTGGTTTTCCATTTGACTGGATTGTACTCATCATCACCTAGAATGAAATAAAAGCATCCATTAGAAACAACATTCTCAAACACAAATTTAATAAATGAATTAAAAAATGTGTTAATATCAATGAAGGTATGATTTAAAAACATTCAATATGAAATTGATGATTTTGTTTGAAGTTTAACGCATTTAATGTACGATTTTTCAAAATGATGTCAATTTCAGGTATGACCTTAAGTAAAAGAAGAAGAGTCAGACATGTCGGGTGAATGGGCTGAGGACGCCACTAAGCTGAGTGGAATATCAGACACATAGACTCAGACTTTGTTATACTACCCAGACATATGGTGGAATCTGGTCAGTTACTCTGCTACATAACGACCCTACGACCACACCCGGTCATGTGACTGATGATGATCATGACGATGATGATGATTACCAATTTATAAATTTTTCATACTAAAATAATCTAATTTCAGTTGATTATTCATTAAAGACTTCATTCCTGTCATGTTTTCTCACGAATGTCAAAATCGTTTCAACCTTCAATTTCGCTTTTAATATTTGCATGGATTAAAACATAATAAAAACAAAGTTTTATCGTCAAAATGTTTATGTTATTATTAAGAGGGAAGAAAAAAGTATTTCTGAGTATTTTATTAATTTTTTTAACCCTTTCTACCACGTTCGAAATTTTAGCATCTTTTTTTGCGGTAAAAAAACACATTGTTTTGGAAATTCTCGTAAACATCAAATCACTAATTACATTTTCAGGACCTATTCACTAATGAACTCAATTATTTTTTAAATTGTTTTTTGGAAAATCTTGGTAAAAATATTTTATATGTGTTACCTCCCACCCACTTACTTAATTCTTCATATTTATATTAGTAAAAAGCAGATCTCCGGGGGGAATTGTCAATTAGTTTTTGTCATACAGAAACAAAATTTACCGAAAATCTGCCTGAATGCAATACAACTATGATCTTATTTAATTAGAAAAGCTTTTATAAATATGATATATTAAGGACACTATTGTCTTAAAACAATTTTCGATGAATAGTGCATTTTATAAGAATTGTTTTTTTTTCAATTTTTTTAATGTTAATTAGAATAATTTATTATGTTTTAAATCTTTTAAAAGTCTATTAATTTCACTCTTTTAGGTGATATTATTATTAAACAAAAACTAATCATAAATGCAAAAGCTTAGTACAAATCAACAAACACCAATATTTTAAAAAGAATTTTGGATTGTTTTTGTGCGTGTATAAATGTGTCGATTTTTGTAGATATGGTTTCTCATACACAATATTATCAGAAAATAAGAGCGATAACTGGATATATATATATATATAGCCATAATGTATCTAAAATTCAGTAAAACATTACGTTATGGAGGATATTTTCTTAACTTTTAAAGATTATGAGTAATTAAAAAATATATATTCAGTCGTTTTTTTTTATATAACTAAAGCCGCCATAGAACAACATTAGATAAACATCACTCTGTCATTACGCTGTCAAACATTCGATAGATTCTGGAATAATTTGGAACATAATCGTTAACACCCACCTAATAAACGTTAGGATAATACAATAAACTTTTCTATCCATAATATACCATCGACCAACATATTTAAATAGTCGAACAAAAGCACAAGACACATTCAAGCAAGAAACAGACTGTCGCCGTTAGGTATTAACCTCAGCATTTATATATATATATATATATATATAATTTTTAATCAGAATGCGGTTATTCATAGTTGTTTTATGGTATTTGTTAATGATATGTCCTGGAAAGAGATATATTTGAACGAAGTAGCTAAGTGGCTTTGGCTACAATATCCAAGTAGAATACGGTAGCAGTAATCAACTGTTACGCGTCGTAGTCGCAGGTAAGAAGTGTAGATCAATGGCGTAGTCCAATGGGCATCGTTATAGACTTAGCGCTCAGACTAAGGCTCTTGACTCTCCTATACGTCCGTCGATATTTATGACGGACACCAGCCAATCATATTCCAGTGAGGGGGAACACAGGTGTACGCATATTCCATTATATCAGTTAATTTTTTTTTTACTGATTATTTCTTACGGATCCCTTAATTATTTATTGTTGACTTTTATTATTACATTTACTTGTGTTTATGTGTGCTTTAGTAGTTTGGTAATTTTTTATTATTTACTTAATTGGTTTATTTATTTAATTAGATGTTTTGTTTGTTCTATTTTTTTCGGGGGTTGGTTATGTTATTTGTTTAAATACTGACTTTTTTAAAATTATGTTGCATTATCTGCGTTGTATATAGGGCATATATTTTCATTTTTTCATGATGGTGTTTTAGAAGATGTTCGTTATTTCGATTTTTAAGTAACGTAGTAAAAACCTGTTTTCGTATGAGCATTTTGAGATAAGTTCTGTTCGTTTATTTAGAAATTTGTGTTGGTCTGGGAAGGTGATTATAGCTATTTTCTCGTCCAGACAAAGTTAACAGCTTTTGGGTTGATTGTTGAAGGCGGATGCTTTTTTCCTTATTTTACATAAAATCATTCGTGTAATCTGTTTTTGATTTTAATTTCCTAAAGTATATATATATATATATATATATATATATATATATATATATATATATATATATATATATGTGTGTGTGTGTGTGTGTGTATATATATATATATATGTGTGTGTGTGTGTATCATATATATATATATATATATATATATATATAAGAATATAATCTTGAGATATAGTCTTAGGGTAGGCTATATTTATGGGCAAAAGCGTTCAATATCAGGGATAGTGCAGATGTAAGTTTAAAATTATAATAGCGGTCACTGAGTGAAATCAGTCTGTTTCATGCTTGAATACTATCTTCAGGCACTGAAAACAGGACTGCCACCTGCGCAATTTTGACTTCAGTGTCCATTTAATATATATATATATATATATATATATATATATATATATATATATATATATATATATATATATAACAGGATATAAGAACAACAGGATTTTCCCAACCAAGTAACAATAAACAAAAAGATAACCTTAGTTTAATACTAGAGCAAATGGATTTTGCGCTTCAAAACATTTTGTCCAGATGGACTTAACCACAAATTAAACAGCACAGATATAATTAATATATACTACCATAAATCAAGCCCCACCCATATTTCTCACCCACATCAGACAGACATGCTTGCAAATGTGTTGAAATCTCACATATATTCACACACTCACACCAATATATACACATACACATCTCACACACACTTCCCCTAAAATTAAAGATAACATACACTTAACTCATACATCCCCTTCCCAGCAACTTGTCAAAATGAACAAGGAGGGAATTCTGAGACTCAGGAATTTCCCCAGCCTTTATTTTAATAACGACTTGAAAGAGGCCGTTTAACGAATGCAATGTCTGAACAAAATTAACAATAAAAAATAAATGAAAACTACATATAAAGTTCACTTTCTTCAGAGACAGTCATACATTCACGTAGTTCACTGCTACTAACAAGCAGGGGCTTTTTTGCTCCTGACGATGGCCATATTGGCCAAATTAATCGAGGAACCTAAATGAAATTATAAAACAAAAAAACATTAATATACAACCCAGTGTGTCTGAAAATTTTATTTTTTTAATAGTTTTTATTCTTCAAAACACACACACACCACATATATATTATTATATTAATATATATTATTAAAACTGATCCACAAAAAGAGCTCAATGTATTTATTATGACAGAGCAAATAATTAATAAACAATCCAATCCAATATCACCTAATGTGGGGAATAGCCTATTTCGGCAGACGAATATATAGGTTGTTCTCTTTCTCACTTTCTCTCTCTCTCTCTCCATATGTGTGTGTGTGTGTGTGTGTGTAACGAGGATATAACAGGCCTATATATATATATATATATATATATATATATATATTTATATATATATATGTCTATATATATATATATATATGTCTATATATATATATATATATAGATGTATATATCTATATATATATATATGTGTGTGTGTGTGTGTGTGTGTAACGAGGATATAATAGGCCTGCATATATATATATATATATATGTAACGAGGATATAACAGGCCTATATATATATATATATATATATATATATATATATATATATATATATATATATGTGTGTGTGTGTGTGTGTGTGTGTGTGTGTGTGTGTGTGTGTGTGTGTGTGTGTGTAACGAGGATATAACAGGCCTGTTTTCGCAAATGTAATTATAGCTTTGTGTTGCCTGGTATGTCCGAATTTTCTTTGCAGATTTAAATAATAAACAATTGGTCTTTCATAGTAGTATCTTGACCTAGATTATTGGATTTTTTTTTGTTTTTGTCAGTTTATGAAAGCAACATTCGTTGTATTTCTTCGTGTGACTAAGAACTATAAAACAGACATACAATATATTTGTTCATTTATAATAATTACTGTTTTTTAATGTAAAATTTTCAGACGGCCACCTTTTTCTATATGAACCCGAGTCAGCTCTTAAAGAGCCTCTTCAGATCCCATACATAGATTCCCATATATAGATACCATGCATTGCGTCCAACTCATTCAGAAATAGATAAAGCATCAGCTATAAATAATCCTTTTTCTCATATCAATAAAAAAAATTCATTAACATCGACTTCAAGCAAATCTGGTCCGACAACGCTATTATTTTAACTACCTTTGCTATTCGCCAATGTTTATTGTTTTAAAAAGCCATTATCAGAATTGTAATGAAACCTAAATTTGTGATGAAAATGAATTTATACACTTTTGTTCTTGAGTATTTAAAACAAAATATTAAACATTATTTATTTATTAGATTGTTTATTTACTGGAATAATTTTATAATTACGATATTCTAAAAACGAATTACAGTTAAAACTAATGCAATGCGATATTTATCATTTACCAATATATAAAGAAATAAATATAAAAACATTTTTTATTCATAAATTAATAAACATTTACTAAATTATTAAAATAAGAAAAGCAACTATTAAAAAAATTATTATTTACCATTTTATAAAGTTTGTACCAGTTATCAATGAGCCGATGTTTTGCCAAACATTCCAATAAAAAATCTAATAAGTAAATACTGCTTATTATTTATTATTCATATGTTTTGTTTCTTTTGACAATTTTTATCATCGCCTTTTAAAGGAATAAACATTACCTAGGATCGAAAGGAGATAAAATACTCATTTTGATACTCCGTTTTTTTTTTCTTTTTTTTTTTTTCTTCTTTTTTTGGGGGGTGCGGTTCATCAGATTTTATAGAGAATCGCAAATATAAATTTTACCAAATACCAAGAGTCACATAATTTGGAAACTTCCGACATTAGCAACAACTCGATAGCACATGTAACTAAAAGGAAAAATAATGTTATAATGAAAGGAAAATCCTATCAATACTAGAATGATCAATAACAGTGAACTTGAGAAATCTATTTTCCAGAAAATATATTTTCAGAGAAAGATTTTATAGACTTCAACTGATGACAAACTAACTTTTTAGTCAATGAATGACGAATGTTTCCTGGATAGAAAAGGTTGTTCTCACCATTGTTCTTATTCTATCAATAATGCCTTCATTTCCAACCAATCACAATCCATTTATATCTGATTTCCATTTCACAACATACAAAATGCCGGACTAGATGCTAACACAATTTTTTTATGTTGAAATTGCAAAATATACTGTTTATCCATTGAATTTATTTCCAAACACTTGTTTTATGTCCCGATTATTAATTTCCACATTTCATTATTTGCTGCGCTTAAAAATGTTTGCTTTTTTATTCTTCCTCCCTTGCTCCCTTCATTTACACAATGTCCTATCTTATTGGAGAACGAAGAAATTCGATAAGTAAATACAGTTTTGAAAAATTGTTTTAAATATCCAAGAAAATTGTTCTCTTAATTAATATTCCTGCCAAATAAAACGTTTTCGGTCTGAGATGTTAAAGATCGTCTCGGATTAGCTGAGATGCTGAAGGCTTTCTTGGGTCAGCTGAGATATTGAAGGTTGCATTGGATTAGCTGGGATGTTGTAGGTTATCCTGGATCAACTGGAACGCTGAGGGTTTTCTTGGACCAGCTGAGATGTTGAAGGATGCATTTGATCAGCTAAGACGTTGAATGTTGTCCTTGAACAGTTGAGATGTTGAAGGTTGTCTTGGATCAGTTGAGATGTTGAAGGTTGTCTTGGATCAGTTGAGATGTTGAATGCTGTCTTGGATCAGCTAAGATGTTGTCTTTAAGATGGCTTATGAATGTCAATTTCACCAATACCACGTCTGCTCATTATTACAATTGTCTTTTTCATATATCAAGCACTAGGTTCCGTTTGGTTCTTATATTGCTTAAAACTTTTTCGTTGCTCGACCCTTCCGTCCATGGAATTCTCAACATCCGGTTGTAGAATCCACATATCTGTTGCCTCTAATCTCCTTTTCACATGTGAGGAAATTATCCTACATTTACCGCCGTATATGATGGCTGATATTACATAATATATAAGCACTTTTTTCTTTGTTTCTAACGACATTCTCATGTGACATATTAATTTGCTTAGCTTTATGTAAGGCACCTTTCGCTATTTCAATGCTCTGTCTGATTTCCGCATCACATTTTCCGCTGTTCTGTATTCTTTTAAACACTTTTTAAGCACTATTTTCTTTGTTACTAATGACATTTTCATGTTTCTTATTACTTTGCTTAGCTTTATGTAAGGCACCTTTCACTATTTCAATGCTCCGTCTGATTTCCGCATCACATTTTCCGTTGCTCTGTCTTCTTTTAAACGCTTTTTAGGCACTATTTTATTTGTTTCTAACGACATTTTCATGTTTCTTATTATTTTTCTTAGCTTTGTCTCAGATACTTTTCGCTATTTCAATGAGCTGTCTGATTTCTTCATATTTTCCGTTGTTTGTTTTCTTTTAGACATTTTTAAACACTATTTTCTTTGTTTCTAACGACGTTTTCATGTTTCTTATTACTTTGCTTAGCTTCGTGTAAGACATCTTTCGTTATTTCAATGCTCTGTCTGATTTCTGCGTCAGATTTTCCGTTGTATTGTCTTGTTTTAAATTCTTCCCATAAAGTTAAATTTCTGTACTTGATTTAGACTGACGATTCATAGCTCACATCTTCGACTGTTCTTCTGGTTTACGACGATACATGTTGACTTCTTAAAATTCATGGTTACTATTGTCTTCCTGCTAATACGGAAAACAACTAAAACTAAGTGGGAGAGTTTTGGATTAACTTTACAGCCAGAGGGAAATAACAAAAAATGATTATAAACTTTTGTTGAGCATTGAATGCCTGATAAATAAAGCAATTACCAAGAGTGAAATATTGATCAAAATCATTACTGACCCAATAGGGTCATTATATATGCGTATATGAGCATGTGTGTAAATACGAATACGTATGTATCTGACTTAAAGTATTTCTTAGGTATGATAATCATTGACTATTTTTTCTAAAAAGCTAATCCAAGTTGGTCAAAAATAAACTTATTTCAGTTAAAGATAAAAATGTTTATAAATACTTCTAAAGTCGTTTCAAACAGTCTGTTTTGTTAAAAGTACTGAGATACTTACCCAAGAAATAGAACTTGAGGACTCTGCATTCTCCATGGATTGGCATTTGCTCGATGGCAAAATGCCATGCTTCTGTTTGCAATGCTTTGGCCACTTTATTCATTAGATCAACCCTGAAAAATAAAATCAAAATTAGCCAATAAATTGTCAATGTTTACTCATCTTTTTTATAACATATGTATCACTACATCAACGAATATAAACACTACAAATCATCATTCCTTATGTTTTTTAATCAAATCGATAATGTCTCTAAGATGCAAAGGGGTTACTGGAAGTTAAAGAGAAGGAAATGACGTTAGTAATAAGAAAGGACAATAAAAGAACAGGTTTTAGGAAGACAGAATATTAGGATTTGAATTTTTTAATATTGTACGTACCATGAGATACGTGTTGTAGTGTAATGGATATCAGCTGAAATCGGAGAGCCGAGTCGGTTTCGTTGCAATTACTTACGCGCAAATACCCTTGGAAAAGGTATGACTCTATCTCTTCTCCTCCTCCCAAATATGGGTTAAATAGCAGCACAGACTAGGTTCTATTGCCTTAGTTAGCATATAAATAATCCAGAAACAGTGTTCATGATATCAAACAGTCAAGAACTTCCTTCAATATCTCAATCAATCCAGAACGGCCTTCAAAATATCACAATCAAGAAAAAGCCTACAACATATGAAACAATTCAGAAGAAGACTTCAACATCTCAAACAATTGAGAAATAGACTTCAGCATATGAACCAATCCAGGCCAGCTTCCAAAATATCAGTCTATACGGAATAGCCTTCAACATATCAAACAATCCAGAACAGCCTTCAAAATATCAGCCAGTCCTCGACAGCCGTCAACATAACGAAAATTCCAGAAAAACCTTCGACCTATCAATCAATCCATAACAGCTTTCAACATATCAAACAATACATAAGCAAACTTAAGCATATAAGTCAATCTAGAAAGTGATTTCAACATTTCAGCCAATACAGAGACTTCAACATTTCAGCCAAAACAGAACAGTCTTCAAGATATCAAAAATCCAAAGACAGACTTTAGGATATCAGCCAATCCAGAACAGCCTTCAGCATATGAAACAATCCAGAACTACTTTAAAAAAAATTCTAGCAATTCAGAATATTTTTCAATATATGAAAGAATCAAGAATACATAAAAAATATCAGCCAATCAAGGGGATTCTTCAAAATATCAAGAAATCCAAAAGATATCAACATATCGACCAATCCGGAACAGCTTCCAAAATTCAGCCAATCAACAGCCTTCAACATATGAAATAAATCAGAACTATCTTCAACTATCAACCAATCCAGAACAACCTTCAATATATCACACAATCCTAAAAAAACTAGAACAAATAAAAGAGAGATTTCAAAATATCACCTAATACAGAACAGCTTTCATGAGATCAAACAATCCAAAAACAGTTTTAATTATATCATCTTATCCAGAACAACCTGCAATCCAGAATGGTCATTACGATATCACACAAATAAAAATCAGAATTCGGCATATCAGTAAATCCAGAAAGATAGTTTGATTATTTTAGACAAACCAGATAGAGACTTCAACCTACCAACAAACACAGAATATCCTACAATATATTGAACAATCCAGAAGTAGTCTTGAAAATGTCAATCAATCCAAAACAACTTTCCAAATATGAGTTAATCCTCAACAGCCTTCAGGATATCAATAACGAACAGCCTTCAACAGCCAATTATGAAAAGTCTTCAACATAGCAGCAAATCCAGAACTATCTTCAACATATGATACAATCAATACAGAAGAGCTTTCAGAATATCAACCAATACAGAACAGCCTTCAACATTTCAAGCAATCCAGAACTAATTTCTAAGTATCAGCCTATCGAGAATAGCATTTATCACAACAAATAATCCAGAAACCGGCATCAACATACAAAATAATCCAGAACAGCCTTTAGCATATCAACCAATCCAGAACAACCTTTATTATATCAATCACTCTAGAAGCAGACTTCAATATATCAGCCAATCCAGCACAGCCTTCAACATATCAACCCAGAAAAGGAATTCAAAATATCAGCCAATCCAGAAATACCTTCATAATATCACCAAATCCAGAAGAGCTTTCAACATATCAACCAATCCAGAACAACTATCAAAATATCCACCAATTCATAACAGCCTTCGGCATATAAAACAATCCAGAACAACCTTCAACATATCAAACAATCAAGAATAGCATTCAACATATCAGCCAATCCAGAAACACTCTTGAACATATCAGCCAATCAATAATAGCCTTTAAAATATCATCTAATTTAAAACAGCCTTCAACATATCAGCCAGTCCACATCAGCCTTCATCATATCAACCAATCCAGAACAGCCTTCAAAATATCAAACAATGCAGAAACAAATAACATCCAACGCAGAACATCCTTCAACTTATCAAACATTCCAGAACTGCTTTAATCATATCAAACAATCCACAGACTTCAATAAATTAACCAGTCCAGTAAATGATTTCAACATCATAGCCAATCCAGAACAGACTTCAAGATATCAAACAATACAGAAACAGATTTCAGTATATCAAACAGTCCCACACATGCTCCAAAAAATAATCTGACTCCAAAAGCGCAGAAAGGCAAACTCCAACATCACATTCAATTCAGATGAATACACTACTTAAATAAACTGATCCACTTGTACAAAGTAGAAAAATTTGGTGGAAATCATTTTGTACATTAGCATTCTTTAAACCTTTCCTAGGCTGAGACATTTGTCCAAGTCAAATTAAATATTATCATTTTCTCGATTTATATCCAGACTAATGTCCTCATCTTTTTTTTTGTTGTTGTTTTCAGAGCATTTCAGCTGTTATGCCCTCCAGACTTCATCAGGTGTCTATCGATCTGAATAACCTACAGGGAATTCTGAACTGAACCCTGCATTTAATCTAGGGAGCCATACTATTCTTGTTCCACTGCCCATGTCAAGGGATATCATCTAGTTCTTACTTTTAGTACTGCTCAACTATTGTTTTCTTCTTTCGACTGAGTACACATATGCAATACCCCACCCCTGATTGATATACACCTGATGAGGGCAGAACAGCCAAAACGTTGTGATAACAACAACAAAGATGGGAACAACAGTCTAAATATAAATAGTGTAAATAAGGATAACACCACATCCCAGAAATTCGGATTGAAAAATCGATTTTGAAGGTAAGTCCTGCATAAAGATAGTATCAAATCTATCTTGACTTTTAGAGTGTTATTTACTTTTAGAGTGTTATTTACCTTAAACTAAGTCACTAATATGTTATTTACATCATTGATATCATTAAGTTGTTGTTTACAGATCTCAAGATTGAAATGGTGCTAACATCATTGACATCGATATCTGTCTATATTTCTGAGATGATGTATCAATTATTTACACTATTTACATTTTTCGGACTGTTGTCCTTATCTTTTTTGTCATATTTATCACAACGTTTCACCCATTGCATGCTCCAACCTTCGTTAGGTGATTGGAATTTTGAACTGAACTCTTTATTTTGTCAACCAGTGCAGATTGTTCTAGTTCCACGTGCCATGCCATATCTCAGTATCAGTTACTTCCCTTTAACTCAACTCTCCAATTTATTGTTTACTTCTGCTGTAGTCAGGTATTGAACTCACAACTTTGGGTCTTATCACTGGATTACTTCACAATGCTTTTATCATGTCCTTGTGCTAGCATCATGGATATCACTAAGATGTTATTTACAGATATCAAGTTTGAAACTGCTAACATCATCGATAATTAATTTTCTTATTTTTTTTAACCTGTTTTAATCTTTTGAACTTTTAAAAACATTTTCGACAAACTTATTCGCATGGGACTTTTCCCACATCACATGGACAGAATTTTTTAAGTTCATTAATTATTTATCTCAAACTAAGAAAAATGGTTACTTAAGGTTTTAATTTATATAGAATTTTGTCCTTAAATTGAAAATATATATCCATTTATTCATTATTTAAAAGAGATGTTTTTACAACACTTGTGTAAAACAAGTCTTGTTTTCGTACAGAAAACAGTTAAAATAAAATTCAGTTATCAATTTGACACTGTATCAATATTAAAAACAAGATCTCTCTCTGAATCAATAATAAATTAATATTTTTTAATTCTGTTAAGGTCTAACGGAGATCTAAAGAATGCTAATCTACAAACATTATTTTCCAAGAAAGTATTCCTTAATTTTTATGAGGGGACCAGTCTATTTAAGTAGCTCTCAAAATCGCTGATCTGGAGTAGTATTCAGTTTCTTGGGCAAATCTGGAACATCCTTCATCGTCTCAGCCAATTCAGAATGACCTTCAACATCAGGGTTGATCCAGAACAATATCATATCAGCTGATCCAAAACAGATTTCAATATATCAACCAATCCCAAGCATCTCAGCTGATACAGAACAACCACCTTAACTGATCCAGAAAATCTTTCAATATCTGAATGAATTCAAAGCACTCAGCAATATCTCAGCTGATCTCAGACAGCCTTCAACAATCCAACTGATCCAGGAGAGCCTTGAACATCTTCCCTGATCCAGAACAAGCTTCAACCTCAGCTGATCCAGGACATCTTTCAACATCCCAGCTGACCCGATATGCCTTCAACATTTCAACTGATCCAGAACAACCTTCAACATCTCAGATATTCCAAGACAGCCTTCAGCATCCCAGCGGATGAAGGACATCACTCCACAGCCTAGCTGATCCAACACAGCCTT